ATTCTCACCTTCTATGGGACCACGCTGGTCTATGAGGCAGGGGGATGGTCCCTACCTCAGTGTCTCTGTCCATTTCCACTCCTCTCTATCTAGACCTATGAGGCTTCCTGCAATGAGGGAAATGTTCTCTGCACTACCCACTACAGTAGTCCCTTGAAATAATATCAATTAAACTGAGGAACTAAATTTTACATTTTATTTGATCTAATTAATTTAAATTTAATTAGCCACATGTGCCTCATGGCTACATTGGAAAATGCAGTCACTACACATCCTTTAATACCCAGCTTAGATTCTACCATCCTCAGCACCAGCTCTTCTCCTGTGACCTCTGCCATAAGCAGTCTTCCAATTGGATCATTTATTCATTCACTTACTTCAACATATATTTACAAAGCACTGTATGTTTCAGACATTTTGTTAATCAATATAGAGAATACAAAGAGGAAAACTACAGTTTCTCTCCTCTAGGAACTTTACTGATTAGGATTTTGAGTTTATGAAACATTAACTTTGTGTCTCCTTCATGACACCCCCAGTGGGGTTTTGTACATAGGTAATTCACAGCTTTGCTGAGGATTAGACGAGGCTGGAAACAGATGTTCAATGAGAATGTCTGGGGATCTTGGTTGATTGGGAAGATACCAATCTGTAGTTACAATAGGACAGAAATTCCACTTTCTTAAGGCATTGAGGGGAAGAGGGTGAATGATGTTTGAATCCTAATATCTGCTGTGAGAATTTAACACTGTTTTCTTGATTCACGGGATCTCATCTTTCTTTCCCCTTCTGCCCTCAACCTTGAGTTTAGGGATTTTCCTTTGCTCAATATCACAAATCATTAAAGATACTTTGGCTGAGACTGGTAGCAGTCTGTGGAAGCCCAAATCCTAAACTGAAAGCCAGAGTAAGAGTAATCAAAATGATACAAGTTGTGCTTATAGAATTTCTAAAAAATTAATAGTTTGTATAATCAGAAAGTCTGGTCTTCTCCTCTTAAGTAGTCTGAACTTCTGCTAGACCAGTAAGGCTATTAAATAAAAAGCACCTGACATGCCCTCTGTATTTTCCTTTCTCTGCCAGGAGGCAAAGTGTATGGAGGCTCACCTTTAGTGATCGGAGTTACAAATGTTCCAGGTTGTTTCATCTTACAATGCTGCAAGTGCATATTATTATGAGGACAACAACACGTTTTTGCAAAGAAATGTTACAGATTACCTTGATTGGTTGATCCCATTTGCTCCACTTAGTTAACAACTTCAGTTTACCAGCTCTGTGGGCCTTACTCTCTGTCCCAGAGACATGGTCCGTGCTCCAAGTTGCTCATAACCCAAATAGCGTGCAAGATAAGTGAATGAAAGGGTTTAAACTCCGGTCAATGCCAACAGGAGTATGTGACTGAGTCAAAACCAAGAGGGACAGAGTAGAGACTCTTTTCTCTGTCCATTGCTTGATTTCCAAGGATGAAGATCCTAGCCCCTCTCTCACTGTGCTACTTCAGCGTTTTCTGTATCTTACAGTAGAGAAAGTATTTATCTGATCAGATCCAAGACTTCCCTGCTCCAAGTTCATCATATTTCCTTTTGTTTTTCCCTCAGTGCAGATTTTATATCATGGGCAACTGGAACTGATCTCCTCATTCCTAACCACTCACACTCTACTGAAGTGAAATTACACAGAGTGGGAGCTATGTGAGTGCTTTCACTCAAAGGGGAGAGATGGTGAGCGGAGCCTCCTGGCCCCGCCTGAACCCAATCTGTTCTACTTTGTCTTCTGTCTCTGGGACCATCTCGATGTCACTGACACATCTTTCTATGGCGCCTTCTCCAAAAGGCTCACTGTTGCTACCTGACCTCCCCACAGAGCTGGTATGTGGGACACTTCAGCCTTTATTTGTTCTTAGCCTCTCCAACCTGATCCTGTCAGGGCCCTGTTGTGCCTGAACAAACATCCTGAGCACTGAAACTGGGCCTGAAGAAACAAGCTGTGTTTAAAGGCCCAGATCCCCCCAACGGCAAGCTCCTGCTGCTCGTTCATGGCCTTATTTCTGAATGAGGTTGATCTCTTAAAATTATACCCTAACTTGGGGCCATTTGTCTTTTTATTGCATGTATTTGAGAGGATGAACTCTGGCCAGCTGTGCTCTATTTCATGATTAACTTCATTTAAGAAATTGAAGGAAAGGGATACAAAAAAAAGTCTAAGTCCTTCTGTCCGAGTGGAAAACATTGACCCCAAATGGCATTTAGCCTTTGGCCATGCTCAGCTCATTAAAATGAAGGTCAGAGTGAAAATCAAACTTCCCCTCAAATTCTTATATCCACAGAGGAAAACCATCAAATATATATATATTTATATATATATATATATATATATATATATATATATATATCCCTCTTTTACTCATTTTTATTGTACCTCATCACTACCTGTTTCCATAGTAAATTAATGTTATTTATTCTTAAATTATTTCCAACAAAGGGCTGGCTGGTTTGCAAGAGGGTTAAAGAGAAAGGTTAGGATAATAAGAGTCAATGAAAGAACAAACGTCATAATAGATTAGCCATTTCCTGTTTTATTAGGATAAATGCCTAAAAGGAGAAGGAGCAAGGAAAACTGCCGGTCACTACTAACCTTGCCTGTAGAATTCTTCACAGACCCTTTCGCTCCATTGCTTGCTCATCTCCCAGATTCTACAGGGGTTGCAAATGTCAGCGCACTTCAAGGCGATCTGAGAGATGATAGGGCAAGAAGAGATGGTCAGAGGATGATCCTTGAGCAGCAAATGCACCCCAAGCCCCAGGGGCCGTCAGACCCACCAGTCGGCCTCCGGCTACCGATCAGTGTTTACAGAGGCCTCCCTGACGTGCCTCTTCAGGAAACAGCACTTCTTCACCCCCGCACAAAACCTCCATTCAGAACTCCCACTTTATAGCAGTTAGAAGAGCCACCGTCCAAGGACACGGAGCTTCCTGGAGGAGACTCGGGGTGGGCAGGCCAAGGAAAGCCACGGCCTGGCTCGGGCTGTTGCCCCACCCCTCGTGGGCAGGGAGGCCGCGGGGGCCCCAGCCAGGCTCGAGTGAGATCATTGGGACCTCACCCACAGCGGCCACGTGTGTGTTTGCATTTATATGCTGTGTCTGTGTGTGGGAGCAAGCTCAGACTGCCAGCCAGGGAGCTAAGTCATATCAAACCTCGGAGCGTTCGGTTTGCAGAGATCAGTCCGGGCCTCCTTGGCTGGCCTCCCGCTGGTCTGCATCTGGGACGCCAGCTTGGTCAGTGCTGCTGACCCTAGGAGGGTTCCTCTGAATTTCAGAGAAGCGGATTCTTACCCTTAACCACCAGCTGCCGGGACACCACTGCCCAGATGGGCTCCTGATGGTGTGCCCTCCCCACAAGCAAGGTCTGCTGGTTTTGACCTAGTTCTCTGGGCTCACAGAGCTGCTAGCAGCGCTGGGGGCTGGGAGAGCCTGGGTCGTAGTAAGCTGCAAGCTTGCTTGGTTCTTTATTTCCCAGTTAATGGGGGTACCAGCACCTGTTAAGAGTAGGTAAGGGACAGAAGTACCCTCCAGGTTCTGCCCTTTAGGGATTCACTTGTGTTAGCAAGCTTTCTTTTTGAAATGCAATTGTTCAGGCCAAATCTCTCAGCTACGCACAACTTGGCTCGGGTCTAAAATCAGACGTCTGGGGCACTCAGGGACTAGCAGACTAGTTTGGGAAGAAAGCAGGAGGGAGATACAGTTTTACAGCTGGGAGGAGAGTACTTCCTGAAAAGGATGGAGCACGGTGGACAGCTTAGAAGGCAGCATGCAGACATGGGAGGAAAAAGACTACACAGTTTAGTCTCCCACGTGCAGCTCCTGCTCCCTGGTTAGGGTTGGTCTAGCCAGCTGCATCCAGGATCCACCCATTCAGGCTTTTGTGCCAAAAGGAAAGAAGGAAGATGAATGAAAATGGAAGATCAAGAAAAAGCCTCTGGTTTGGATCCAAGGTCAGACTTCTGCTTCCCAGGTCCCCTCCTCCCCTTGTTCTCCCGTCACAAACGCCTTCTTGCCACGGAATGAAACAGAAAAGCTGGGCTTAATGTGACTCAATTCATTGAATTAAACTTAAAATCATTTATTTACTGGTGCTTAAAATGTTAAGACTAGGTACACATGTTTGAGCCTCAGATGAAAATACGAGTTTAGATGGGAAAGGGAAGTAAAGCAGAGTTTAAATTTAACAGGCTTTAGGTAAAGGAAGGAGACTTGTTTCTCAGTTTTTGTTGGTGCTATAGTTAACATAATACACTTTTGTATTAAAGAAACAGTGTTCTAAAATTGCAGAGGTCTGACAGTGGTCAACTTTACATCAAGCCACAAAATGTAGTAGATTCTTCCTGCATGCAACTGCCCAGAGGAACTACTTTGTGGCGAAGCAGTTACCAAACAAGGAAAAATGAGATATTATCAACTTACTGACGTGAAACCCAGATATTTATTACTTGCTTGGAAATCACTTAAAAATTTCATGTGTCTCAAAGTTTTTCATAAAGTAGGTCACTGCTCTAGCTTGTACCATGGGAGATACTCCTTCTCAAATACACTAAAATGATTGATCGTGTCCTTAAGCGTTGTACTCAGTGAGGAGAATGACTTCTTTTTGTGGCGGTTGTTTACCTGAAGCATAAAGTGCCTGTCGTGTACATCCTCCAGTCTTAAGTCTTTATTGTGGAGGTGAGCTTTCAATCTGGTCAAAAATTCATTCTGCCTGTTGATGTCTGTAGCCAAGATCAAGGAGCCCAGCTGCTGTTCAATATCCTGTCTGCATCCACAAGAAGGAAAGAGAAAACACACACACAAAGCAAATCCCTTTGAGGAGGGTGATTGATTCTGTCATCATCAGGTGGCTTGTAATCTCGTGTCTGCCTTTGATTCTGTTTATTACAGAGTCCCAGTCCCTCGCAGCCCAGGAGTGATTCTCTCACCCACCATCACTTCTGACCCTGGACAGGAGGCATGCCAAGGACTGTACAGAGAGACTGAAACCTTGGATGAACAAAGTTGTGGTAGGTTTTACACTCCCAGGTTCCTGAAAGACTGAAGGCCAAATATATGCTTTAAGGAGGACACAAAAAGACTCACAGAATCACAGGCGTTTGGGTTGTGCTTTTAATAGAGTTAAACCAACTCAAACCTTAAGATTTGCATGGGGGAAGAAAAGAGCATAATAATAATTAATAATAATAATAATAATAATAATAATAATAATAAAAATAGTAATGATAATAACAGTGCCTGATACTATGGAATGGAAAGCTCCAGTAAGGGAACAAAACAAATAGGCTGGAAAGAGGTACTGGAACTTAAAAGAGAATCATAGTTGATGAAGGCACCATTAAAGAGCAGTAATCAAGCTGTATATTGGTCAACAAATGGTATAAGGGAAATGGGATATTTTGGAAAAATAAAGCAAATTTGAGCTTTTCCTCACATATAGAAAGTAATCAATGGAAAGAAAATCCATAACTATTTTAAAATTCACCTTTAAAAGTGAAGTATATTTAAGCAGAGTGCATAGAGCATACATATTCAGCTTAATGAGTAAATGTGAAATAAATATCTTACAATCACCCCCCAGGTCAAGAACATTGCCCGCCAGTACCCCACAAAGTCCCCAACATGCCTCTCATCCCACCCCTCTTTCCCAACCCCTGAAGTAACCATTTTCTTGATCTTTGTTTTAGTAATTTCTTTGCTACTTAATAATTTGACCACTTACGTGTGCACATCTAAGTAATACGGTTTGATTTTAACTGCTTTTGTTCTTTAAGTTACATGGTGAGTATCGGCTGGTGATTTGCTTACTTAACTTTATATTTTTGAAAGGCATCCATGTTGATGTGTGAGCTGCAATTCATCCATTTTCATTATTATATCGCTTCCCATGTTAGGAATATATTTCAATGTATTTATCCATTCTACTTTTGATGGTCACTTGAGTTGTTTCTGGGTTTTGACTCCTTTGAAAAAATGCCACAGTAAACACCCTTGTATACCTCCAGGTATACATGTGCAAAGGTTTCTCCAAGGACTATATCCAGGAATACAGTTATCGGATCACAGAGTGTGTCCATCTTCAATTTCCTAAATACTGCCGATTATTTCCAAAATGATTGTACACATTTACACTCGAGGCAGTGATAGATGAGATTCTCATTGCTTTACATTCTTACCCTTTACACTTTTTGCCACTCTGAGGGGTATGCAACCGATTGTGGTTTTAATATGAATTTAATATGAATTTCCTTGTGGTTATTATATGAATTTAATATGAATTTTTAATATGAACTTTAATGTGAATTAATGAGATTGGACATACTTTCATATGTTTATTGGCCATTTGTATTTCTTCTTCTGTGAAGTTTCTATTCTAGTCTTTACCTATTATTCTATTGGATTGTCTCTCTTTTGCTTATTGATTCTATGAGTTCTTAATATATTTAAATTATGGTCCTTTGTCTCTTATGTATTGCAAATATCTTCTCTCATTCTGTGGCTGGTCTTTCTGTTTTCTTTATGATGTCTTTTGATGAAAGGATGATAATTTTTAATATAACTTAATTTATACATCTTTTTATTTATGGTTAATATTTTTCTTCTATTTAAGAAATCTTTCTTACCTCTGATGAAAATATTCCCCTACATTATATTCTAAAAGGTTTATAGCTTCACCATTCACATTTTTGTTTTTAAATCATATATATACATCTTTAATCAACTTATGAACATTAGAAATAGTCTTAGAAAGTAGACAATGTGGTACAAAAGAAATTTAAAATGCCCCCACAGTATGAAACAATATTAAATATTCTTAGAATAACAAAAAAATCCCAAATTAAAACAGCTATGTGATACTATCTCCCACATTTTTATCAGCAAATATTAAAAGTAACTGCTAAATAATTTGCTGAATTAATGATTGTGATACTTAATGCTGTTGATGATATGGGGAAATCATCCGTCTTATTCTGTTAGTGAGAGTGTAAACTGGTACATGTTCCTGGAGGGTATTTTAGGAATTAGTGTTAAAAGCAATGAATATAAATAATTTGACCAACAGTTCACCTACAAATTTACTATGAATATGTTAGTAAAAATATAATTAGTAAAGATATATGTTATAAGAATGTTTATCCTATTGTTGTTTATAATAATAAAACATTCTTGGGGAAAAAATGACAGGAGTTTATAAATAGGAGACTGGTTAAGTAAATCATGTTACAAGCATATTAAGTCATTATTATATATGATGATGTATGGTTTATTTACTGACATGGAAAAATGCCATGTTTTATTGTTATGTTAAAAGACAGGATACAAAGCATGTAAGACAAGACCTCTATGATCACAGAAAAGAATTTGGAAAGATATATCATGGGATTATGAATGATTGCCACTTAAAAAAGCTCTAAATATTGTATGAATTCTTTAAAAACATGAATATTTATTACATTTATAACCAGAAAATATAACTGTTTTAGTTAGGTAAAATGTTTCATAAATCAAATTAAAAGGAAAACTAAAAACTTCACATGATATTTATAATATATAACACATGTTACTGTAGTTAAAATACAGCAAGTAAAATAGGAAAACTTCTTACAAATTAATAATAAAACTGACAGAAAAATAAAAAAAGACCAAACACAAAAATGTGTTTCCTAAAGAAATAATAGTGGCCAGTAAATACATGAAAAAACTTCAATCTCATTTGTAATCAATGAAACCCTCTCTCTATCTCTGTCTCTAACTTCTTCCTCTGTCTCCCTCTCTTTCTCTCTCCATGTCAAATTTGTAAATATTTAAAGAAGATAATAGAGGTAAAACTCAATTTTGATGATGGTACATTGGTAGATCTTCTATAACCTACCAGTGGGAATACAGGTACATACAGCTTTTTGGAAAAGTAATTTGGTAATATACAACAAGAACCTTAAAAATTCACACCTTTCTTTCTGATAAATAACTTCTATCCACAAATGTTTTCCAAGAAAATAGCATACTGGAGTTTGGGATAAAAATGTATGTTTAAGAATGCTTGTGAAGCATTATTTATAATGATACAAATCTGAAAATCAGCAATAGGCAATATTTAATACAATTTGATACAATAATGCCTTGTAGCAATGGAAGTAATTTTATTTCAGCAGCAGGTTTAATGATACGGAAAAAGACCTTTATAGTAAGTGAAAAGTATCAGGACATTCACCATACAAAACAAGCTCCCTATTTTGTTGAAATATAATTATACTGAAAAAAGACTAAAACGACATACACTATTCGGGTTAACGTTTACTATCCCTTTATGGCGGGATGATCAGTCGATTTCATTTTCCTTCTTCATTAGGTTGAATCACATGAAACTTGCTATTCTACTGTTTTGGACCTTTGAAAATGGCAACTTCATACTAATACTTTTCTGAATTTCCCTTAGTTTATACAGTTAACCTGTCTTACTTTCAAAAGCAGAAAAATGACTTGAAAGCATTTACATGAGGATAGAATAATCATGATGATGATGATGATGATAACTTTAATTATAAAGTCTTTTCACGTGTATTACTGCATAACAGCGAGTCTTCTAGCAGAAGCAATTAACAACACTGCGTCCCACAAAGACACGTGAAAAATATGGTAGTTTTATTTGGAGTCTACAGGGATGAGTAGAAGGATTTTAGGACATGAATACGGATGGAGCAACAAGCAGGATGAAGGCGGGCATTTCCGGGACAAGTTCAATCCCAGGTTCTTCTCTCCTTTTTTCCTGTCACTTTGCTCTTCCCTGTCCTCCCTCTCCTCTGTCCCTTGCTACTCACCCCCTCTCTTCCTTTTTACTTGATTTGTGGCTCTAGTTTTTTTAGGTTTTTTTGCATCTAATCCTTTTGATCTTTGCAATTTATTGTTCTAGTAAAAGGCAGTTTTTATTCCGTGTATGAGGATTGGTTTCACTTAGTGCCAGGGGGTAAAATGTTATCAGAACTGAAGTTCCTCCCACAAATTCCACATTCCTCTGGGTGCTAGGGAACGGCAGGGGGTAGGATCAGAGGGTCCATAGTACACCCAGGAGCCCAGAGTGCACTGCCTGCTCTATGGTGAGAAACCACGTGACCCTTGACCTTACGTTACAGGGATCGATTTACTTTTCCCCTCCTAGCAACTCCAGGTTCTGCACATTTCAATTAAACATAGGAATTAGTGGTGACTTTGGAAGACAGTACAGCAGCTAAAGTGAGGCCAGGTGGAAATGAGGCCATGGTTTTGGATTTATTAGGACTCAGCCTGAATACCCAGGATAACAAACAGCAGACCAGGAAACTAGTATTTCCCCTTCTGGTTAAAATGCAAAAGACATAGGTAAATTCATGGTGAAAAAAACTGCTGGGGCCAATCCAGTTACTTAACAAAAGACATTTTAGAAAGAATTTCTGACTTCTCCTTTGGCTAAGAGTAGCCATTACAAAACACTCTTGATTGAACTAGGCTTCAGTCTAGTTTGAGAACTCCTGTGTTCCTTCTTGATAAATATTTATTATTTGGATCTGCACAGGAGGACAATTCTGCTAACATAAAAGACAGGAATTTGGCAAAGCAGAGTGTCAATACTGAAGAGTGTGAAAGCTGAGAGCTGTTTATTATCGCTTTTCCTGACGTTAGGTCATACACTCTCCAGGCCCTTTCAGAGCTCACAGAGGGATTCTGGTTTCTGGGTTGCTGTAACTGACACCACATCTTCTCTGATAGACAAGGGAGGGAGTGCGGGCCGGAAGCACAGCCGGCTGGCTCCCCGCCATTACCTCGGGGGGTCTTGGCTTATCTCTAATGTGTGGGCATCGGTATGTTTCATCTCCATGCCACTTACGTCATTTCCTTCGGCAAGTGAGCCAGAAGCCTTGATTCTCGAAGCATGCCGATTGTAGATCGCCAATGGTGATTCTCCAGCACAGACATATTCTAGAAAGAAAGAAAATCAAAGCTATAAACAGGGGAGAAGCCAGATACTGATCTCTCTTGCTGAACATAGCTCCACGGAGACCAATATTTTGCCTCCAGCCAGTTCGTACCTGATGACACAGAGGCTGCCCAGAAAAGAAACACAAAATAAAACAACCGCAGGCCTATTCTCAAGGCTATAATAAGAGTGGGGGAGTGGCGAGGCCCTGCTGACCATCCACCTGAGGCTGAATGAGGGTCTATTTCCAGCATCCTGCAGTCCTGCCTCTGCCCCTGTTCTTGAAAGCTTCTTCAGGTAACACCGTGTAGAAGGAAAAAAAAAAAAAAGAGGCAGTAATAATAGGTAGTAATGGGTACCATAGGGCTGTGTGGATACCATAATCCAAAATTATACTGCGCAACCGGCCAGAGGCAGGCTTCACAACCTCTGGCGTGCTCTACCTCCCTGACCATTGTTCCTCCACACTCGTAAGAACCTACTGTGTCTGAACCACCTGGGAAGCTAGTGACATATTCAGACTTCTGCATCCCAGTCAATACAGTTTTATTTCAGTAGATTTGTGGTAATTATTATGTACACCAAGGTTTAAGAACCACTGTCAATAATCTCCATGACCAGTGTACTGGCACTTAGTCCATTAGGTCTGACTTTGAATCTACAATTGCTTCCTTGTTCAATTATCTTGATATTACTTCCATTGTGGGAACCTCTACTATATGGTATTGTACATCAACTCTACTTCAAGAAAAAAGTGAGGGGCAATTGTGTGATTCTGCTTCTATGAGGTACCTGGAGTAGTCAAATTCATGGAGATAGAAAGAATGGCAGTTGCCAGGGGTGCTGAGGGAATAAGGAGTTATTATTTAGCGGGCACAGGGTTTCAGTTTTGCAGGATGAAAAGAATTCTGCAGACAGATAGTGGGGATACTAGCATTAACAATACAAATGTACTTAATACCACTGAATTGTACACTTAAAGATGGTTAAGATGGTAAATTTTATATTCTGTGTATTTAAGCACAATTTAAAAAAAAGGGAGGGGGAAGAAGCACGGAAAATAATACGGAGACTAGGGTAGGGTAGGTACCGCTCAGTGGTAGAGCACATGCCTTGTATGCAGGTCCTAGGTTCAATCCCCAGTACCTCCACATCCACACAAAGAAATCGTTTTTGGAGAAAAATATCATCTTTGGCCTCAGACTATTTATGTATATAAGTATATATATATATTTTATATAAAATAATATGGAAAGACTAAGTGGAGCCAAGACTGAGACTGAAAACTATTCCATTGTTAGGCCCCCTCCTCCTCACCACTCCATCTGTGCCGTCCGTATAATGCTCAACTCTTCAGCAAATGAGTATATCCATGAGTGCCACAATCCAGGGTCCATCAGGAAAAAACAGGTTCAAGAAAACTGCAAGTATTCTTGATTCTAAAACCAGATAATGATTTCTCTCTGGAACTTTGTACAATGAGCTTCACGAGGTGGAGTCCGATTCTGATCCTCTGTCTAGGCTATTCTATTGCTATTCATTTCCCTCCTTGCCAAGGAGTCATTATTCCTTATTCACCACTTGACCAGGTTTGAACCTGTGATTTTGTTACTTTTATCAACTGGTCTATTATCTCCTCTTGGGCCTAAGCCACACAAAACAAAAGACAGTGTTGTTGAGAAATAACATGTTAGACTAATTTGTTTTGGTTGTAAAGATTTATGAGAGCAGAGAGTGATAGGTTAGTGTGATGGAACAGATGTTCTACCCCTGCAGTGACATTTAATTCAGTCACTCATGAGCCTTCACTTGCAAGACTAATTCCAGCAGAGGTGACACGCGTGCCCTCCTGTGAGGTTTTCAAGGGGCTGGAAGGCTGTAACAAGACCCGATGATAAATGACACCGTATCCCTGTTGAGTGGAACAAAAGTGTCTGGAGAATTGCCTTAAGCATTGCTATTTATGCCAGCCTGACTTAACATCTTCATTAATAATCTTCCTGAAGACGGAACAGAAGGATACTTGGGAAACTGGCTGGTGAAACCGTATTTGGAGATGAGCACCAGGAAAATGGGAGGAAATGGAGTGGGCCTGGACGCTGGCACGGAATAAAAGAAAACAGTACACACATTACAAACACAACCTTTTGTGGAGCTGTCATTATAAATAAAAGTATGTTTTGGTCAGAACTGTGTTGGAAGTAGGGGTCGTCCAGTGGATTCCAGAGAAGAAAAAAAGGGAAGGATGGGGTGGAGGATTAACATTTATGAAGCAACTACTGTGTGCCAGGCAATTTACATGAGCTCATTGAGTTCTCACATAACCATCTACTGTTTTACTCATTAACTCAAAGATAATAAAATCCCGGGTTTCTCTGAGAGGCCACACAGCTAGTCAGTAGCCGAGAAAGGCCTTAAACCCAGGTCTGCCAGGTGTTAAGATCTAAGTTTTGCACACCCACCTTGCTGCCTCCCAAGAATTGCCTCTGTTCAGCCACATCCAAGCATTCAGAAGCCTGCAATTTATAAACTGATGAATGCCTACACTTATACTTAATTTTACCCCACAGCATTATATAGCTGCACTTTAAAAGTCTATGGTTGATTGTTTTAAGTAGACGTTAGCTTCTAAATCCACACTGGAATCTTTGCACTTACCTCCAAATTTGGTGTCACTTCGAAAAGTCCTGTAGTTTGAGTATATTATGATTTGAGTAGAATTGGATTGTCTTGGAGGAGAACTCATCTTTTGGTCACTCTCAGCCCTCACATCCAAACAGTCTCTGACTCCTGTCGGTTCTTCCATCATGGTGTCACTGTTACCCAGGACTTTCTTTCACTGAAGTGGCCCTAGTTTAGTGCTTTATTATCTTTAATTCTCCTTCCTTCTATCTATCCTCCCTACAGCCTTCAGAACATGACTTGTTTATTTGACAAAATTTTCTACCATCTCCTGAGTCATTGGTTGAAATATACACTCAGTTTTTGAGCACCTACGAATGTGCCAGGTGCTATGGTGGGCACTGGGGTCCACAGATGAATAAGACAAAATAGCTGCCCTCAAGGAGCTCACCCGACTTCCCCTAACTAGTACGATTGCAATACCTTTTCTCATGCTCTGCTCCAATGATTTCCTGTCAGCTAAATTAAGCCTAACTCCTTAGCTCGGCATTCAATGCTCTCTGAAAATTGTCCCAACTACCGTTCTGTTCCTATAGGTTTGAGATAATTGAATACCTTTACCTCTCTTTTCCTACAAAGATCTTCTAGTCCAAATAAATGACATATTAATAAGACTATAATGTATTATTGACATAATTATTAAATTAATAACATGAAAATGTCCTTTCCTCTTGCCACTTTCATGCCTCCCAAGGTGGCTTATTATCTTCAAGCTCTTCCTTCTCTATGTTTACTTATCAAACTAAAACCTGTCTTCCAAAGTCCACGTCAAGCACTCCATCCTCGAAGCCAAATGGAATCATTCAGTCAGAGGTGAACTTGCTTTCTCCGGGTCCTACTGCTCTTTCATTCGGCATTTCTCAAGTCCTGAGGCCAGTTGGACTCTGTCCTGTTGATGTGTGTGACAGCTGTGTGTGTGTACTTGTGTGTGCCTTTTCTTCTTACTAGATTATAAACTACATGTGAATAGGAAGCCTGCCTCGTTCCTTCTGTATCCACTCAACTCTATGCCTTGCACAGAGAAAGTGCTCTCTATTAATTTGCTAAATAAGTAACTGAACACATTACTTGATTCCATTCAGCAAATATATTGAGCACTTACTATGTTCCAGGCACTGTAATATGTGCTTGGAATACATCAGTGAACAGAAGAGACAGAGAACTAGAGGTGTCAGGGATGGAGAGAGAGATAATAAACAATAAACATGATAAATACTTTGGGAAAAAAGTATAGCATCTGGAAGATAGCAAATGCATGGAAAGAAGGGAAAAAGGAGCAGAATCGTGGGAATTTGAGTCTGTGGTGAGGATGGTGGGGGAGGTAAGGCAGCAGGGTAAGGGGTGAGGCTAGAGCAAAGACTTGAAGGTAGGAGGGTGCTAGCCATGCTGATAAGGGAAGATTGTTCTACAGAAAATAGCTGAAGTAAAGGCCCCAAAGTGGGAGCAAATAGCCTAGAGGTCAACATGCAGTGAGGGAGGGGAAGCATTAGGACCAGGGGCTAGAGAGGCAATGAGAGACCAGATCATGTGTGGCCTTCTGGCCATTGTAAGAATTCTGAGTTTTACTCTGTGAGAAATAAGTATTCACTGCAGGAGTTTGGAAGGAATAAATTATATGACTTACATTTGAATAAGCTCACTTTGGTTGCTATGTTGAATAGACTTTGTTAGGGGATAAGGAGAGAAGTAGGTGTAGAAGGCTGTGTAGGGGAGAGAGCAGCTGTCCAGGCAAAAGATGACAGAGGCTTGGACAAGGAAGGTGGAGGTGGTAGGAGATGGTGAGATGGTTGATTTCTGGATCTGCAAGGAAGACACCAGTGTTTCTGGCCTGAGCAACTGGAAGGATGGCATGCCCATTACCTGTGATGGGAAGGATGTAGGTGGAGCAGGTACAGAGGAGTCTCATGGTTGTCCAGAGTAAAAGTGACATTTTCCAACCTCCTTTACAACTAGGTGGAATCATTTGGCTAAATTCTGACCCACTAAATGTAAGCAAAAATGTTGTGTGGGATTTTCAGGGAAGTTGTTTAAAGGGAATTCTTTCATCTGGGAGAGGCTTATTTTGCTTTATCCCTTCCTCCCTTCTCACTGTCTGGAATGCAGCAGGAATGGCTAGAGCTCCAGCAGCTATCTTGGGCAATGAGGACAAGTGTCACATCCTAGTGACAGTAGATTGCAGAACTTAAAGGATCTCTTCATTCTGAATTTTGTGAAGCTGCCATGCCTGCCCTGGACTGCCAGCTTCCAAAATTGTTTCATGAAGGATAGAAATAAACTTCTACCCTTGTTTAAGTCATTAACACACCAAGTTATTTAAAGTCACTTTAGTAATAAAATCATCCCAAAAAAGCTGATAAAAAGGACTTTTCAATGTCTTGATCTAGCATAATGCTTGGGTTTTGCATAAGAATTACAATAAAGAATTATGTAACTCTAAAAAGAGTGAGGAGCAATCACCTTAGTAAAGTTAGAAACACATACGGGTACACACACATGCATGTGTATGCATATACACACACACACACACTTTTTATTTCTGAGATGAACCATTGCCATTGCCTATGAAGGACTTTCTTGGTTCTACAAACAGAACTGACAGCTCCCTCTTCTAGTTCTGCACCTCCAACCCAAACTTCTCTCCTAGTGTCTAAAACGCCTCATAACAGCTTTGCACATTGACCTTGCTCCCATATATCAGTAATTTTTCACATGTTTTTGTTCATTTACTCTTAAAATTAATTTTGAAAAATTATGCTCTCCTCATACTTTAAAAAATTGATTATCTAAAATCATAAATTTCTATGGTAATAAAAGATGAAGTGCTCTGCATATTTGTGAATATTGGTATTTTAATATAAAATCATCATATTGCTTTTTTATGTATTAAATATATCTAAGGGAATCTAAATACCAGAGGCATTTAATGCCCACTCATCACCTTTTCAAGAAAACACACAAATAATTTATTCTTTAGGTCAAAAATTTTAAATTGATTCTTTTCCATCTAGAACTAGAACTTGTATTTCCATTCTACTTCTCTATTACATTTTATTTTAATGTAACGTATTTTCATATGTGAAATTCTTTGATTGTTACCCTATTATATTTCTCTGCAGCAAAAATAAGTATATAAATTGAAATTTTAATTTAACATATTTTCTTAACATCAGGATCTAAGTAGTAAATACTTTTCCAGCTTGAGTTTAAGATGCAATTGTTATTAGTAACTAATTGATCAAAATACATGTGTATTGCAAATTTGGGAAAAAATTATGCTTAAGAATAAAAATTTACTGGCAATGCATCTATTTATGAGATGGCTGGGAGCATTACAGTACCTCAGTTATTGGAGACTTTAATATTTTAGCTGCTCCGGTATTTTTTCACACTGGGGCAACAGACAGTATTGGTGCACGTGGAGCAAGATGCAATATGAAAAATAGGTAAGAGATTCGTCTTTCTTTGAAACAGTGGGAACAGGGTGACTGTGAAAGAGAAGTAGACAGAAGAACTGGCTTGACTGTCCTGCAAGCACATTCCAGGCAGGTCAGTTTAGGAGCTGCAAATGAATTCTGTTAGCACTGTTCATTCCCGTGTACCCCTTAGAAAGTCTTCGCGTATTCTCACGGGCACATGTGCCTAGTTTGAAACTGCTGACATACGTGATTGCCACTGAGAGTGAGGAGCCTATCTCATTCATCTTTGTGCACGTGTATGTAGCACAGTGTCACTTAAATGAGTAAATATTTGTTGAATGGATACTGAGTAATTAACTTCCCAAACTCAGAAATTCAGTAGCTGCAAAAGTTTACGTAACTGTTTAAAGAAAAAGAGTCCCATTAAATTTTTCATCGGTATCTGAACAAGCCAGACTGGAGATCTGTTGTGAAATCCTTAAACTTAGGTAAAAGCCAAGAGGTTTTAAGGTTATTATAGCAATGGGCTCTCGTGCTGTTCACTCACAAATGACCGGGATCAGGTAAATGACTACAGACATAACATAGTACAGATCAGACAGCAGTTGTCAATTTCAAGAGGCACAAATAAGAAGTCATTATAAAGAATTTTTCACAACGCTTCTCATTCTTCATGGTGTACACTTGATGTAGGGTAGTAAGAATGCAATAATCAGCACAAGTACCTACTAAGTGCAAAGTGGGGGGTACACGTACCTTGACATGGTGGTCTTTCTGTCTTTCTGATCTTTTGTCAGATTTCCACTCTGGGTCCTGGTGTGTACTACTCACTACTGCTAATATTCTTGATTTCTCAATATTGCTCAGGTCCTGTCTTTCTTGCTACATGGGTCCAGTCCGTACATCCATCCATCTATCCGTCTACTTATTCATCCAGCAAACCTCCCACAACCCAACGAATATTCATTGAGCACCAGGACTGTGCCGGATGCTGAGGGTACAGCAGTGAACGAGGTCAGTGCCCAGAGACTTGCAGGCTATGGGGGTTACGGACATCTAATCAGGAAATGGCAGTTTAGAGAGAGAAACATTGGGAGAGGGGAAGTAAGAGGAGCTGTGAAATCATACAGGAGGGGCATGGAAGATGGATTTTTAAAGCAAAAGAAGGCATTCAGGAGGAACATCTGTCCAAGTTGAGGTCAAAAGGATGAGTGCGTTAGAGAGGAGTCAGAGAGTCCATGCAACACAGAGGGAAAGCATTTCATTAAAATAAGTAGAAGGAAGAGCATGTGTGTGAAGATCTGTAACAAGAGGGACCCTTTATATCTTCCTTCTCTGTTTTAAGTTTTTAATCATTAGTAACGATCACTTTCTAATATACTATATATTTTACTTAGTTATTTTGCGATTGCCTAGTA